TAATTTAAAATTATATGCTAAAATTTCCTTATAAGTTATGTTAACTTCTCTGTTACTTCTGAAAAAATTGAGGGAAGGGGTAGGAGAGAAGAAATTTTTGTTCAACAAAGGCTGAGTGCGGGGGTGGTTATATCCTGGAGGCTGATTTTTCGTTTGAAACCTGTTAAGGGGAACAACTCAGTCTCCAAGGGTAATCGCCAATTGCTCACGTCTCTTCGAAATGCGACATTAATAATCATTAAAATTCATTTAATAAAAAATACATAATGTTTCGAGAAAGAATCTGTCTCGAAATAAAAAATGAATTACAGCCTTACAATTTTTTAACAATACTTAAAGCAATGAAACTTCGTTATTGTTTTAATTAGATTATAACTTTTTCTTTTTGTATTACATAAGTGCTCTTTTCTGTATAACGTCTTCTAGGAAAGTTTTTCGTCGTCATATTTCATTGCTGTCAATTGTTTTCTATGGCTTGATTTTTGATAGGATGTGATGTGGAAATCTGTGAAATTGAGAGGTCAGCTCAGGTCATGCCCTTCACCTGTGAATTTCATTACAGAAGTCCGATGTTAAATAAAATGGAATTCGTATTCTATAAAGTAATCTTGTAGAAATTATGATACATATACCATAAAATTACACGATGATATTCTTTTCTTCCGAATGACAGATTATCTTGTTTTAAAATGGACTAGTCCTCCGCTTACTTGTGGAGAATTTTACGAAATTGTATTCACCCCTGATGAACCCTCATTAATAAAACTCTGATGAATTTAGGAGCACCGATAATTACTTCTACAAAATATAAACTGCAACCGAGTTAAGTTTTGAATCATGCTTTGGGGGTGAGTCGTTTTCCGGAGGGATAGCCCAAAAAGGGAAGCGGAAGAAAAGTCATCCCTCTCTTTCTCTCTTGTCACTGCTAACTATACTCTTCATCTCCCGAGGGCGAGGGGAGATTCCTAAGCCCCTTTTTTTCTTTTTGTCTTTGGGAATTCCCATTTGTCTTCTTTGGTGGGGGTGGATGACAGAATGGAGTGCTTCATCTTCAGTGTTTTCTTTCCTGCAACTCTTGTTTAAAACTCTTGTTCGTTTGGTGAGTTAACTGTCAGTATTAGGAACTACCAACCTACTGTTTCAAACTGATTTTTTTAAAGTTGTATTAAGTTCTTTTTTCTCCCTTTTAACTCCAAAAATTTTGTAGTGGTTTCTTATTTATAATATTGTTCTTTCAAGCCAACCCAATTTGTTTTGCTAGTGACAATTACATGACAGTCTTGTAGAAATTATAATAAGAAAAAGCAAAACGGAATCGATTTTAAATAACTCCTTTTTTGTTCGTCAAGTTTGATTTTATTCATGACAAAAATACTATAAAGCTTTGTCATCTCTGGATACATACCTTGATGTATACTGAAAAGATAATTTGTTTAAATGAACTCGTATAAATTAAGAAAGTAGGTAAAGTAGCAAATGTCTTTTAATAGTTGAAATCCATCTTGATGATATATACTATCAATAACATACTAAATTACTATAAATCTTAAGAAGCATAGCAAAAATAGAGGTACAAAAAGACATAATAAGTGAAAAATATATTCTCAATAGTACAATAGCAAACTCTTAGCCTTAAGCACTAAGATTGCAGGTTTAAACATTGTTTTCAGGTCAGCCAACCTTCACCTGTAATTTGCCTATACTACTGGGCAGTAGAAAAAAGAAATAAGAGTAAGAATAAGCCTTTATATAAGCCTGAAGCTGAGTGTTAGCGTACCGCGCTTCCAAGCCACACGTCCGGGGTTCAAAGCCCCTGGATGGACAAGGTCAACTCGGCCTTCAGTGGGTCGATAAATGAGTACAAGCTTGCTTGGGAACTAAACACTGTGGTTTTGCGTCTGCACACATCTGCTCATGCACTTCACTGATGGGAATACATGCCTTGGCCCTCATAAGCTGTTGCGCCACTGAGTTAAGTTATTTTCGTGTATTTCAAACTGGAATACATACGAAAGACAGATAGATGAACAGAAACATACAATACAAACACAGAAGAATATAGATATTTTTTATTGCAAATGATGATCCCAGCGTAGAACAGAAGGGCTGCGCTGCTTTCTATTCGAGACAGGAATCCATTTCAGGTGAAAGCCCGACTTCTTTTCCCGAAGATACATCCATGATGCCTTATTCGGGATTCGAATCCGAGCCCACCCGATTACAA